GAGAGAGAGAGAGAGAGAGAGAGAGAGAGAGAGAGAGAGAGAGAGAGAGAGAGAGAGAGAGAGAGAGAGTTTTCCAGCCATGCACGCAGAGAGATATAGCAGTAGATTCGTTCGATTTTGCTCATCCTATGGATGAAAGTGGCATCTTCCGCTAGAACACCAAAATATACAGCACTACACAGGTGTGTGCGCATGTGTGTGTGTGTGTCAGAGAGAGAGAGAGAGAGAGAGAGAGAGAGAGAGAGAGAGAACATCGAAATATACACTACTCTAGCAGTAGATTCGTTCGATCTTGCTCATCCTATCGATGACAGTGGAATCTTCCGCTACAACATCGAAATACACTACTACACACGCGTGCGTGTGTGCGCGTGTGCGTGTCACACACACAGAGAGAGAGAGAGAGAGAGAGAGAGAGAGAGAGAGAGAGAGAGAGAGAGAGAGAGAGAGAGAGAGAGAGAGAGAGAGGGGGTACTTCCATCGAAAATCGAATGAATCTAGAGCTAGAACATCAAAATGAGAGGCAATAGCAGTAGATTCGTTCGATTTTGCTCATCCTACCGATGAAAGTGGAATCTTCTGCTAGAACATTGAAATATAACCTACTACACGGGCGCATGCGTGTGTGCGTGTGTGCGTGTGTGTGTGTGTGTGTGTGTGTGTGTGCGGTAGGATGAGCAAAATCGAACGAATCTACCCCTAGATGGGGTCCAACTGATGGCTGTGGTGTTTTGCAAAATGTTTTTGTCATCGTCCTTCGCCACAGCGGTGTTTTGCAAAATGTTTTTGTCATCGTCCTTCGCCACAGCGTAGCTGCGGCAGGTCCACTTGTTTGGCTAAAAATAGATCAAGTGTAGTATCTGTTCTGATCAGATAGATCAGTTGAATATCTGATCAGTGGTCCATCGGACCACATTAGGAAAAAAAAAAAAAAAAAAAAAAAAAATTAGTATCATTATCTATGTTGAGCCATCGCCCGGCCCAGCACGCCTGGGGTCTGGTCCCACCTACGGTTGTTGAGTTTAGAAAACTCAACGGTGTGACGCCATGTCGACATTAATAAATTCGAACAGCGGGGGTTACGTGCTGACTACAGAGCGAAGTGTACGAGAATTGCCGTGTCCGTGGGTGTTGCGTGTGGTGTGTGTTGAGTTGGACACTACAGCCTTGCAGGGGTGGGGTGGATATCACGACCGGTACGATTCCACTTTTGAACACCGTGTCCTGGCTGTAGTGGTTAAGAGACTTGGCTCTTGAGGCCGAGGTCGCCGGTTCGAATTTGTGCTTGCACGGAGGAGGATTTAGGCCCAGAATTACGGAATCCAGACTACTGAAAAAAACGCTAGAAACAGCTTTTCTCCTTACTGGGAGAAATGAAACATGTCTGGAACAGTCGGAGTGAACGTCTCCGTGAAAAAGGGATACTCCCCGTGGTGAGGGGACAGTAGGTCACCATTTGTAAAATGGACAGGGACGACGTGGATGGCCAAATGCATTCATTGCCCAAAGAAGGAAACGAGTTTGATGCCAGACAGCCAACACACAGCTGTCAGAGTTCCTCCKTTTCAGGATGCAATGAGGTCTWAAAAAACAAAAAAAAGGAAAGGCACTGCMGTTGAGAAATGTACCCTCCCCTCGGTAGGGTAGTTTTCTCAATGGAAAATGGCTTCCCGCCCAAACCAAAAGGGCCAACGCATACTACAAAACGGATTTCACGTCAAAAAAAAATTCTACAAAATGACTAAATCTAATAGGTTATTCTCCTGTATTTTGGTACCGGTAGATTCGCAATACATCAACCGCAGAGCTCCGTCCCACCATGCCACACGTGATAGAAAGCTCAGCGTTTGGGACTAGACCCCTGGGCCAGTTGGGCAGAGTGGAGGTCGCCCGGCAAAACCAGACAGGTCAAAAAAGAGGCACGGATCCCCAAAAAAAAAAAAAAAAGACTTCAGGCCAGGACTGCGCTTGGCCTACGCAGTCAGAATCTGGTCTTAACATCGGTTTTGGTGATGGTTCATCCAGTGGGGGTTGGGGGGTATAAACAGTGACTAAAGGGGTTAAAAGGGTACATTTTGGACTCATGTTTTTCTCATTTATTTTATTTTTATCTTAAAACTAACAAGGAATTTTGAGGTGTCCGTCATCCAGAAGTCATTTGTATTGCAATTTTACACAACATTTTTTTTTCGGATTTTTTTTTCTTTTTTTTTAAATATTATGTGCTGGGATCGCCCGGGACCCTGCCTCGGCCCTCCCTGGCCCGGGCCGCCCAGGAGGATACCCAGGGAACCTTCCCCCAGCCGGGCCGCCCGGAGACTAACACAGATCATTATGGCTTCACAATTCAATTTTTTTATCAGATGACTTTTTGTATCACCAACTGGTTGCCGGGCCAACTTCCAACAATATCCAAAATTAGCAAACGAGACATGCAGAATCTGAAAGAATTTTGTAGACCTTTTTTCAAAAAAATAAATAAAAAAAATCAAGCTTACCTTTTTGTCCAGTTGCTCCAGCCTGGTCTTGATGCCATGGGCCAACCTGCTGACCTCATCAATATCCGATTCCATCCTCTCCTTGAGGGCTGCACAAACCGGAAAAGAGGATTGCGCCTAAGTCATATTTATCAAGTGACTATTTCGAACTGACAAATAAAATAGTACTTCTACACCATGGATATCATGAATGTACCCACATTCAGTGAAAACAAACAGATCGCACCATATTTCATCGAACTGACCAGTGGGCGGACCCGTAGGCGGACTGGTCGGCAGTCTGTAGAGGGCCATCCACTGTTTTTTTTTTCAAATCTGAGTTCAGCACTATACTACACTTACTCAGTACAGTCCAAATCCGCTGAGAAACTTTGGGGATGGTGAGGGGGGGGCGGGCAGGTACGGGGAGTTATGAGGGAGGTATAGGGGGGGTACAGGGGGGTCGTAGGGGGTTGATGCGGGGGGGGGGTTGTATGGGGGTTGTATGGGGGTTGTATGGGGGTTGTATGGGGGTGTTGATGGGGTTCTGGACACCCCCCCCACCACCCTAAAAAAAAAAAGCGGGTGCCGACCGACCCCCGACCAGTCCGACAGTCGGCTGGTGGGCCCCCGACCAATCCAGGGGCGCCAACCGTCGGCGCGGCTGCTCTACTGAATGGATAATTGCTGCGATTCCAGGTCCATACAGAGCATCATGTGCAGATTGGGTAATTGCCGATCTGCACAAGAAGTAATCAGTAACCAAAACCGAATTTGCCTGCCACCACTCGCAAAAAAGAGGGGAGGGGAGTCGATTTCTCTCCTTATCGAAACCCTGTGGAACAATTGGCTTCTCGTAATAAACCCCACCCCACCCCACCCCACCTTAACCCACCTCATCTCCAAAACCCAGTCCATGAGGTGTGGTGGGAGATAGATGAACCGTGTAGGTGCAAAGCTGGCCCAAACTAAGCCCCTCTAAAACAGCCCCCTCCCCCGATTTCCAACACGGGTCAGGTGGGCCTCAACCTTGACTGTCCCCGGCTTCCCCGCCAACCTCCAAAAAAAAATTCCCCCCACTTCTTTTCCATTCCAAACCCTGTCCCCTCCCCCCCCCCCCCACACCCCCCCAAAATCAAACCCCTCACAACCCCCCCCAAGCAAACTTTCTCTGCCTCTTTGACTACGTACCTTTAAAGGAATCTGCTCTAGTGACAAGCTTGCTCTCCTCGTGCGCATCCTGTTGAAGCAAAGCGCAGACGAGGAAAGGACGGTGATCGACAAATCAGAGTTTGATGATGTTAGAAATATAGGTTGACATCAGCAAATAGTTTAGCATCAGAAATTACTAATTAAAAATGATAATTTTTTGGGAAGCCCAGTAAAAGCCCGAAAATAGGTTGACATCAGCAAATAGTTCATTGGCATTAGTCTTTGGGCAACACACCTCTGAATTCTTTTACCACATCCACCATCACCAAGAAGGAGTGGGAAATAAATTTTCAAAAGGAGAGATTGCGAAAAAAGAGAGGAGGAGAGGACATAACGAAATGGGAAAGGAAAAAAAAAAAGAAAGGAGATGAGTCATATGACAAAGAAGAGAGGAGAGACGACAAAGGCAATGATGGCGAGGGAGGAGGACAATGACAATAAGAACGATGGAATGACAAAAACACCGATAGTGAGAGAGGCGGCAGTGGACGAGGAGGAGGGCAAGGAGGAGGACGAGGCGGAGGAGGACGAAGAGGACAAGGAGGAGGAGGAGGAGGAGGACAACAACGAGGGAGGATGAGGAGTGGACGAGGAGGAGGGCAAGGAGGAGGACGAAGAGGACAAGGAGGAGGAGGAGAACAACGAGGGGAGAGGAGGAGGAGGCGACGAGGGCGGAGGAGGAGGGGAAGGGGGTGAGGGATGGAGAACAATGATGACGCCGAGGAGGGTAAGGGTAAAGAGGAGGACAACGATAACGAGGGAGAGAGAGGAGTACGAAGAGGAGGATGACAACAAGGGAGGAGGAGGACGCTGATAATATGACAAAGAGGGAAGAGAAGAAAGAGGAGGTGAGCGCAAGGATCCAGAGTTGAAGAGGACGATGAGGAGAATGAGAGGCAGGCATTAGAGGAAAGGATGGACGGCGAAGAGGACAAAAGAAAAGCAGATTTGCATCGGTATGAGAAGAGCGATGTGAAGCAGTCACTTCATCAAAATCCTCTCAAGGAAAATGCGTAGAAAAATACTAGAAAATACTAGAAATGTTTAAGAGACTGACGATGGAAGTCAAAATCGACTCAGAGAAGAGGTTCTGACATCTCTGCGCATCCACTTTCTCAGAAATCGGAGAGCTGAATGTCTTCATGGGTGTTCACCGTTCAGCTCGCTGCGAAGGATGCACACCTTAACCAGATCAAGAAGACAGCTTTCTGGCTTTCACAGATTTTGCTGTTAGGTTTCGGAAATATCCAACAGGCAAAAATCACTTGCGCGTTTTTTTTTCTCCCAATCCACAAATCACAGATCCAACAAAGAACTGATGAAGAAAGAACCGAGCATGCCAAAACCGCAAATATTTCGTCCAGCATAAACTGGCAATGATTGATTTTCCACGTTCCAACCCAAGAAGAAGAGCGAGCATCTAAAATATTGTTTTGTGAAAATAGTAAAATACTAAATAGAGAAATAACAGTTTGACTCCGACACCACAGCCACAATTAAAGCGTTGTGGGACGTCAAACACAGTGCACACCTGATTTTGGCCGTACCTGATCAGAAACATAGCTATACATTCACTATCAGGCTGCATTATTATTATGTTCAGGGGAAGAAGGTAGTCCACGTCCCTATTGTGAGTCCTAAGTCTAAGTCCCTAATCTGAGTCCAAGTCGTGAAGTCTGGCCTCAGTACTTCCTTCTTCCCCCGAATACAACGTACCGTCTTTATAGCTGTATTTGAGGCATCTTTCAGTCTAGATACAGCTATAATGACCGTATGTTGTATTCCTACCCTCTTCCCCCCCAATAGAACATACCATCATTAAAGCTGAATCTCGACTAAACGTCGCCTCAAATACATCTATAAAGACCGTGCGTTGTATTCAGGGGAAGACGGCAGTCTGAGTCCTAGCCTGAGTCCTAGCCGTCTGAGACCTAGTTCAAGTCTGAGCAGTATGAGTCCTCTGTAGTCATCTGCGTCGTCCTAGCCTGAGTCCTACCGTCTTCACCCAAATAAAATGTATGGTCATTGTTGCTGTATCTAGACTGAAATTTGCCCGAAATACGGCAATAGTGACCGTGCGTTGTATTCGGGCAAAGATTGGTACTCTGAGTCCCTATGTATGTGTCACGTCCCGAGTCATTTATTCCTAGTTCTCACTGAGTCATTGAGTGCTAGCCTGAGCAGGGTGGGGTGAAGGAAGAAAAAAGGTACCTCCTTTGTCAAAGACCGAGCATGGCGGTGGTGCACAACAAAGGTCGGCCAATCGGATGACAGCATGGATGGTGCTGTTGTGATGGTGGCGAGGATGAGAGGGGAAAGCAGCCCGCGCAGGGAAAGCCGGGCATAAAAATTGAAACAAACGCCTAGCGTTCGAATTTTTTTTTTACTTCAAATTCGAGTGCGCCCGGCGTTTGCTCGGGCAGGTTCCACACCGAAAGAAGCATCGGGCGAGAGCGTGAGATGTGGGCTGTTGATCTTGTTTCATCAACAACCGAGATCTCGCAATAGAAAAAAAATGGTGGTCTAAAGCCGTATGGGACCCCTTCTACCTGGCACCTGAAGATCGCTCCACGGCTGCTAGCGGCCCTGCCGGCCCCGATATTGGCCATTTCACTATTTCACGCTGGCCCATCTGGACAGCCCACCAAGCCGGGCAACTCGGGCAGGTTCTGGCGGGGGTCCAAGCCGCGGCCTGGGCAGTCCAACTAACTAGTCTCCAACGACTCTCCATCCGATTATTAATTTATTGAATTCATTCTTCTTTTTTTTTTTTGTTTTCCTAACAGTGTGCGTGCTGATATTATTGTACCCATGGTAAGTTGGTAACCCCTCCGGTTTTCCGCAAAATTCGATCAGCCCACCATCCATCTGCTTATCTACCTGTACATCTCTGAAAAACTACTGTGCAGCTTCGTAAGAACTGTCAGTGTGGTCACAGTACCTCTTGTGCTGTGCACGGTTTCACGTATATTCAGTGAAGGAACTGTGAAGCTTCGTAAAAATTGCTGAATTGTTGAGCCCTGCCCATGTGGCTGAATGTGTACACCCTTGTTGTACACATTCAGTGATGTAATCTTCAAACAAACGTCACTTCGTACAAACTACACTGTTGCTTCGAAAGATTGCACCGGTGTTGTGCTTGAGCTACTCGCACCCGATCAGACAAACCTGCTCGTTACAATGGCATCAACTTGAGAAGTCAGCTTATGGTCTGCTTATATATACCAATTGGCACAACAAGGGTGTACATCTTTGAGCCACATGGGAAGGGCTCAACAATTTTTCTTCGTGACGCGAAAATCCAATAGGCACAAGGTTGTGAAACTCCTTGGGCTGCAAATGCCGCCCGGGACTGGGGTGGACAGAAGAACTCTCCTTGCCTCCCATTTCTCACCGCATTCGCAGCTTTTCAAGAGTTGTAACTATTTGTGGCCACATTCGCAGTATTTCAAGAGTTGTGAGTATTTGTGGCCACATTCGCAGTATTTCAAGAGTTATGACTATATTTGTGGCCACATTCGCAGTATTTCAAGAGCTGTGACTATATTTGTGGCCACATTCGCAGTATTTCAAGAGTTATAAGACTTTTTCCGTTCCTGGATAATACTTCTGAGGGCATACTCATGCGAGGCATTTTCTTGATGTATAAGACCACGTTTCCAACCCGGCATGGATGCACCTGACCGCAATTACGACCACAGAGAACTGGAAAATGTACTAGTGTGAGTATGCTGTGAGACTTCACCGCAATGTTCGTTTTCTCGTTTTTTTTTTAATCTTTTTTTGGAGTAGGTATGCTGTGCATCACTGCACCAACCTTGCCAGACACTACCGTCTTCACCCAAATAGAACGCCCGGTAATTATTGCCGTATCTGGGCTGAAAGTTGTGCCAAATACAGCTATAATGACCGGGCGTTCTATTCGGGTGAAGACGGTAAGGCCTACCATTACACGACATTCATCTGATTTCCTCACGATTCGAACTCTGGATCAGTTTACTAACACTTAACGCCCTCCGCACAATGTTCCGTGTACCATTCAGACGGATCATGTCTTCCCAGACACTTAAGACCACCTCTGTCTCCTCAACAATTTGGCCCAACACAGGACTTCCCTTGGGATTGTAATTGATCCAAGTCATGTAAATGAATGTTTTCCCAATATATAGCCGGATGCACACTCTAATCTTACGATGAGAGGGGACACCTTTGGTGGCCCGTGTTTTGTTAAGAGCCCGGCCGGATCTATCTAATCCTGTTTGCTCCCCATGCTTTCGCACCTCAGCGTCAGTAGAGACCCAGAAAGCTGCCTTCGCTTTTGGTGTTACTTCTAATATCTATGAATTTTATCTCTACACTAGAAATTCCACTTCACTTTCCTCTATCTTCCCCCCCCCCCCCAAAAAAAAAAAAMAACCCYAWMARAMARAARRWAMMARAAAAAAAAAAAAAAAAAAAAAAAAAAAAAAAAAAAAAACGACAGCCCAACTGAAACGAGTGCCGCATCCTGAAATGCAACCGGGGTGGCTGTAAGTGGTAGGGGAATTGACTTGAGGCAGTCAGTCACATTGCCGTGTGTATTTACTATATGGTCATCCCGCCACCCAAACAGACCGCCTCGTCATTGTAGCTGTATTTGAGGCAACTTTCAGTCCAGATGCAGCAAGGCGTTCTTTCTTTTTACCTTTTTCCCGACACGAACTTGCAACCGCACACCAAAAACAAACAAACATAACCGCCAGCCAAACACTTTTATTTTTTTATTTTTTTTTGGCTGGCGCTGCCAGCCATTTCGATCTGGTAGCGCTGCTCGTCCGAAGATCCCGGATTGTCGTTATATCAATTCTCAGGTTTGCCTGGGCAAGATACGGGTGGTTCAAAAGACGGTACTGATTTCCCAGGGCTGTGCACTACCGTCTTTCCCCGAACACAGCGCACTCTCATTATGCCAGTACCGGACCGGAAAGATAGCTTGTATACATTGTATATACACTGTTTGCATTGTATACATTCAACATTCATTATCAGTGCCTGTTGTGTTCGGGGGAAGACAGTAGTTTTTTCCAGTCCTTTCACTGGTTTCTATTGTACTTTTCAAGTACTAGCGCACTCGCTAGTTTTCTAGTGTGCTTACTAGTTTTGGGGTCTCCTTACGGCCATCTTCACCCTACTAGAATGCACCGTGGCCACAGTCATTATAGCCGTATTTGGGCCACCTGTCTGTCTCGGTACAGTGATAATGACCCTGCATTCTATTCAGGGAATACAATAGTTTTCAAGTGTCCTCACCTGTCGACTGGTGTTTGCTGCCGCGAGTTCATCAGCGATGTTTAAGCCCCGCCCCCGTCAGCTCTGCTATTTATCTGAAGGTCACACTGATGCCCTCTTTCCCCAAACACAGCGCATTCCCTCACTGTGACCGTATACAACCAGAAAGGTAACCTGTATACATTCACGGTGCTCATCCGTTGTACTTGGACAGGCAGCTCGTATACATTCAGGATGACCGTGCATTGCGGTGAGCAGAATACGATAGTCTTGTAGGCTCTGTGGCTTCGTTCCCTATTTCGAAACCCTATTGAAAAATGAAGCCACAAAGCGTACAAGACTACCGTATTTCGAAACCCTATTGAAAATAGGGCTTCATTCCCTATTTCGAAACCCTATTGACAATAGGCTCTGTGGCTTCATTCCCCATTTCAAAACCCTATTGAAAAATTTGGAGGAGAATTTTCAATAAGCAGGGCACAGGTGATGACTCAGCACAGTCAGAGTTCAGTGTTTTTTCTTTTTTTTTCTTTTTTCTCCCCCCGCCATCCACCCCCCACCCCCCATCCCCCCCTCCCCCAAAAGGTTTGATGTTCTGCCTTGACAGATTGAGGCTTGGATCCCACAGTCAGTAGTACCAGTACTTTTGCACTTCCAGGGAGACCCCACATGGTACCGGGGGCATCGGGGCCCTAAACAAAAAACTCCACTTTCTACTCTTTCATGGCGACGTGTCTAAACGGCCGCGAACCTGGCCATGAAGCAGCAACTGTTTCCCAAAAGCGCCCGCCGCCTACCCTTACCGCAAAAACGTTTTAAAAACAAACAAACAAGCTGGCAGACGGAGAGTTGTTTGTTTGTTTTTTTTTTTTAACTTTTTTTAACTTTTTTCCCTTTTTTCGTTTGCGGATCGGACCAATAGAAAGCCGCATGTCCCTGGCAGGCCGACTGCTTTTCGCCAGACAAGGACGGCCCTGTGCGAGTCAAAAAAAAAAAAAAAAAAAAAAAAAAAAAACGGACCGGAAGGCACGAACCGTCGGACCCTGCTTTTGAGGGGCTTCTCCGATTCTTTGTTATAAGTGCCTTGTGGGATCCATAAGCCTGAGAGTCGGCCAAGTCTAGTGAAATTACTCGGCATGTTTTTCGGTTCTCTTTTTTTTGTTATTTGATTTCCCAAGCAAAAAAAAAAAAAAAAAAAAAAAAAAAAAAAAAAAAAACAGTAGATTTTTTTCTGGACTTTTCCGTCATAATCAACCCGTTCCTGAACTTTTACCAGCATAGGGCCTCTCACTCCACACCGAAAGTTACGAAACCAAATGTGCAAAATAAGCATGAATCTTCCACGAGAACGTGGAAAGATACACTGCAATATTTTCCGTCTTTTGTGCATGTGGTGAGTAGCGGAGCGAGGCCCATAATCAGCCTGTACTTGTTGACTGCATATTAACCAATTAAATAAACAGTCAAAGTCAAATATTAAAATTAATAAATTATAAATTAGAGTAAATATTATTAGGAATTCATGACAAGTTAGCAACTCAAAAAAAAAAACAAAAAAAAAACACAAACCTGATCTTCTGAGAAATGTTCCTGTACAGGCTGTATTCCAAAAAAGGAAAAAAAGAAAATTGACGTGCCTTTCGTCAAAAAAAGAAAAAGGAAGACAGAAATGTACCTGTAGCTTGTGCAGATTCCGGCGGATAGAGGCCAGTACATTTTTCACCTCAGCCACCTGCCCAAAAAAAAAGAAAAAGAAAAAAAAAGATGAAGAAAGAAAGTCAAATATTAGAGAAAAGGCCAGAAAACCCAAGCTCACGTTTTCCTTCCTCCGATCTTCAAAATTTTGACACCATCATCAAGAGGGGGGGGGGGGAATAATAATAATAATTCAAGCGAGGAATCGCAACCACTGGAGATAAGACCCAAAAAAAAGAAAAAAAAAAGGGACAAGAAAGAGAGAGGCAAGCAAAATGTAAACAATCATATCACAACATTCTCACAATGCACTGTGCGATTCGAAAAGGAAACTTCAGAGAAACTTGTAGAACAGACAACGTGCACTGAAAATTCAGTAGCGTGTGCATAAATGAGGAAGGCCTGATTTTGAGGGGTCAGGTGGCAATCCATCATTGTGGACACCAGGGGCCTGGTCCCACTAAGGATTGGACGTACTTCCTGAATGCGGATGAGTTTCTGGGAGAGATGCAGAAAAACAGCAGATCGATCACAGTTTTCTGGATCCCTCCACAAACACATCCACATTCAGGAATTACATCCAATCCTCTTTGCTAATGGGACCAGGGCCCAGTTACGCCAATTAAAACCGTCATTGTGGACACCAGTTAAAGCACTAGTACCTCCAGCAGTGTTGGGAAAATAGGGAAAACTGGCAGTTCTCCCAAACTCCTAAAAAGTCGGAGGCTGGGCCCGACGACGGCTGCCGTTGATAAATTTCATCGGCGGCCGTCATTTCGCTTCGTTTCCGCCTCCTAAACGATCGCAGCCCCATCCGAGGCCTCCCTGTTTTCCCAACCGGCAAAGGTACTTGTGGCTTAAAGTTTAAAGTTTAAAGTTTAAACCAATTAAAACCGCTGCGTGATGGGCGACCATCTCGCACGGTTCGGAGAGCACTTGTTACGGCTGAATAGACAAAAAACGTTTTGCTACGGTTTATCAGTTTCACTCTTGAATCAATTTACTATTATGGAGAATTATTCTATAAAGATTTTAATATTCGAGAATACTTCAGTTCAATTTGACCGCCTAATACGCGCCTATGCTATTGCGGACGCCAGCTAAAAGGGGGCGTCAGCTGGCAATCCGTCATTGTGGACATCGGTTAAAATGAGAAAGTCTCATTTTCTAAAATTAAACCGATTAAAATTTAAAACCAAAAAAAAAAGCAAAATATCGTAGCAAAACTCCACTGTGCTGCCATTGGCAGCGCGGGGGAGGGGGGGAGGGAAGGGGGAAGGATTACAAAAAAAAAAAAAAAAAAAAACTTAGAAAGAAAGAAACAAAACACAACAGAAAAAGAGAGGAAATCTCACTTGGTCAAATAAAATAAAAAAATAAAAATCCGGAAAAAAAAAAACTATGTTATGCAGAAAAATAAACTGAACAACTTTTGCCTCAGCGTCACATCAAAGTTCTTTCCCAGATGTAAAATAAAAAATAGATTTTTTTTTTTTTTGTTTTGGGCCCGACCAGGCAAGTGATCCCGGGGCACTCTGGCAGCCTAGTTACATAGGGAAAAAACTTCAAAAAAGAAAAAAAAGAGCCAGGCCCTTACCTCTTCAAAAAACTCTGACATTCTGTTGTCAGGGGCAGGGGGAGGGGGAGCCCCCCCCCCTTGTTCAGGATCCATCCTGTCGTCGCCGTCGTTCTTTGCAGTCATTGCCAACCCGCGCTCAGCGCGGAAGTCCTGAGAACACCAGTATTCACCAAACACCACCAAAAACATTACTAAGGAAGGGGGGAAAAAAAAAAAAAAAAAAAAAAAAAACGCACACACACACCAAAAACATCACTACACAAGAAAACACACACACAAAAAAAAAAAAAACCTACAAAAAACAAACTAACCACATCCAGGAAAAAAAAAAAAAGGAAAAAAGACCACATCAGCAACGGGAAAAGCATGGTCCCACTAGCAACGGGCTAGGAGCCTAGGATGCAAAAGAGTTTGTGTCGCAGTACAGCGACCCCCCAATCTGCCCCTCCAGTGACTCACTATCCCGCTGTCAGTGTTATACACATATTACCTAGGCTACCAGCCGGACCGCCTGGGACACCCCGTTTTCCCGGGCCTGGGAAGGTCTCAGCAAAAAAAAAAAAAGTCCAAAAATTCCCCAGAAAAACTATGTTGTGCAAGAAACAAACTGAACAACTTTTGCCTCAGGGTCAAATCGAAATTCTTTACCAAATTTTAAATAAAAAATTATTTCGATTTTTTTTTTTTTTTTTTTTTTTTTTTGGCCCGGCCGGGCAAGTGGCACGGAATTTTAAATTAAAAATGATTTTGAAAAAATATATATATATATATATTTTTTTTGGCCCGGCCGGGCAAGTGGTCCTGTGCCACTTTGGAAGCCTAGCATATTACATGGAAAAAGAAAAAAAAAAGGAAAGAGATCTTCGTTCCCCTTCTCCTCTTACCTTAAACCACCAGTACTTGGCCCCTACATACATACATCAGGGATAATAATGGGGATAAAATCCGCCTGCAGGCCCCTCGCCGCGACTTTCCTAAGAACCCTAAGGTGTGAAGCTTTACTCGTACTCATTACGATTCCGACTATCAGGGATAATCATGAGATATTTAAAATTTTCAAACATTCTTTTATCAGTTTAGGTATCTGTTGGAATCTTTTTCAATAGAAAGAATATCCTTTTTTATGTTACAGTTCATGTCAATTGATTTTTAACGTTAACTTACTTGCTGTCAATTTTTTGACCCTACACGTGACGCTGGCCATTGGTGAGATTGCTGTCAAATTTTTTATTTTATTTTATTTTTTTGAAGCTGTCAAATTTTTGACCCTACCGGCCCCCCTAAACTCGCGGCGCATTAATGTGAGGGGCTGGCAGCCTCTGTATGGGTCAAATAACGGGGAGTTAACACTGGGCATGCCCGTGCAAAGGAAGCTTCCCGCCAATTTCACGCGACTTTCGATGGCCATAAACGGGACACTGCGCTGGCCATTGATGCGATTTGTTTATTACGGCAACTCGAGAGGCCGAGAAGAGGAGGTGGAAAGGGGGAATGAGAAGTGGCCACAGGTCAGGCAGAAGGCGAGGAATGGAGGGAGGGAGGGGAGAAATCCTCCCCCCCCCCCCAAAAAAAAAAAAAAAAAAAAAAAAACGCTCTCAAAGTTTCAGTATTTTTTCTCGTGAGACCACTTTTTTATGACTTGAACTGTGAGAGTGTTTTTTTTTTTTGGGAGGGGCGGATTTTTTTTCAGAAATTGGCGTCTGTTAATTTTTTTAAATTAGCGTTGTACAACTCGAGTAGAGATGATTAATTGTCAAAACTCCGAATTTGTTTTTTGTTACTTTTTTTAATTCTATTACGGTAATACTGCATTTTTTTTATTATTACATCCTCATTTTTTTTTATTTTTTCTTATTACTTTTTTCATTTCGGCCTAACACTGGAGCGCCGGGCCTAACACTTATCAGCCAAAGGCTCAAGGGGGGGGGGGGAAAGATATGCAAATTATTTTCCCGCCAGAATTTGCATTCTTTCTTTTTTTTTGAAAAAAAAAAGGGCAACCGCTTCTTCAAGATATCATTATATTACTGACCGGCCCGAGATAATTCAGAATTATTTTATTGAAATTTATTCCGTTCATCTCATTGGACATGGATTTTTCCGACCTGGGTCCATACTTCAACAGTTAGTGGGTGTACCAACTGAGCTAGGCCCAGGGGATGTTTTTCTTTTTCCTTTTTTTTCGTTTACCTTTCTTTTTTGTTTACCTTTTTTTTTGTTTACCGTTTTTTTTGGTTTACCTTTTTTTTCTTTTTTTCGAGAAAAGTGGCACTGTCATTATTGAAAGCAGCAAAAGGGGGCTGGAACTCCTTCACATCTCAACCCAGGGGGCTGTGGAGCAAGTGTTCCCCGGGACCATATCCCATCCCACCTACACCACTGTCCAGTTGAGCTAGCTCAATGGCGACGGCGTGACACGGTTATTGTGAATTAAAAACTCAAAATCACATGAAAAAGAAATAGAAACAAATGCTGCTGAAAGCTTTCGTCCATAATGTTTTCCCCAATTTCCGAAAAAACTACACCGGAGAAACAAAAATTCATTGAGTTAAGCCGGTGGAGGCTTGTTTCTCTACCGGCTTAACTCGATGAATTTCTCAGGCAAATCGGGGCTCCACTACCAAAAAGGGGGGAAACTCAGTTTTCATGAATTCAGCCACGAATCGCCAATTAGATGTGGTCTCCTGCTTTCCACACACACACACACACAAAAAAAAAAAAAAAAAAAAAAAAGAAGAAGGATGTGTTCTCCTGCTTTCCCGGCGCCGCACTGCTGAAAGCGGGGTACTCGGTGCAATGAATCAGGCCCAACCCCAAATTGGGAATGACCCAACCCTGTAACCTTTTTTTTCAAGGAAAATAGCAGGCCTCACCAAAAAACGGTGCAATGAATCAGGCCACAGTCCATCGTGGCCAGGACTGTGGCCTGATTCATTGCACCGTTTTTTTCCATGTTGCTAGGCACTTTTTTGCATAATAGCACCGAAAGGGCGCCTTCTGCGCTGTACTGAATTAAAAAATGGGAAATGATCAGTCTAAGCTGGTGGAGCACAAGCCAAAATATCCCCGAATGAAACTAAGTCGGAGAATGGGACCGGCCATAGACACCATGAACACTCCTCCACCAGAGTGTCCTCCGACGTCTGTCAGAAGTGGCCTCCCACAAGGAGGTGATGATGCCTCGACGTCTGTTCAGCTAGCTACCCCACTCCAAGCGGGGTAGCTAACTCAACGCAAAGGGCAGATGGTAGGGGGTGCTCTATTCGAGAGAAAAGTTTCGATAACGGAGCTTTTTATTTTATTTTCTTGGGAGGGAAGGGGGGGTGGGGGGGGGTCATTGACAAAACCAACATGGAACTCGTTTATCATACATTATGGAAAATCCTCCGCTCAATGTCGATGCCCATGAATGGACGCCATCGTCGCGGGCATTGCTGACCTACCCCAACACTGTAAGTGGGACATGGCACCCGGCCTCCTTTCGCTGCTTTCAATAATGGCGAAGCAACTTTCTTAAGGAAAAAAAAAAAAAGAGGTATTTCGGTCGGTTGTTTTTCGCCAACCATAATCTTTCCTTCTTTTTCTTCTAATATTTTTTTTGGGATATTTGCAAAATACCCCCCATAAGTTCAGATGTATGCCAAAATGCCCCTAAAAGATGCGAGTACAGCGGCATACACCTCTGACGAAAGCTAACTTTTGTGAATAGCCCCTGGTGTCCCTAGTGCGAAGGCACCTGTATACAATTAAGTGGCCTGCCTCTTATACGGTTGGTCGCTTTATTGAAAAAGACGACCACATTGGTCGACCCTTCGGCCCTCTTCTATCCAATGTGGTACTTCACGAGGTTGAAAAATTTGTCATGCGACTGAAGGGCATTGCCGACAAAGGGTCGTCGACAGGGAGGGCAACCACTGCACGTTGCGGACAAAAGAGCTTACTGCAAAGATCCGGTTGGACCCCTGCTCTTTTTCAATATACCCCTACTGGTACCATCCAAGTTTGCAAAATACCCCTGCCGGGTACTTGCCAACTTTTGCAAGGCCCTATTGGAAATGCCCAGGCCCACAAGGCGAGGTCTAGATTGGAAATTTGTGCACCGGCCTGACAGGGGCATAACACAAGGATTCCGTCCCAAAAGGGCATTCTGCTCTACCCACATCTTCCAGGGGCATTTTCGCATTTATCTTCACTTAAGGTGGCATTATGTAAATTATCCCAATTTTTTCCCTTTTTCTCCAACTGAACTGGACGCCTCAAGGTAATTCAGCATTGTTTTGTTTTTCCTTAATTTGCCGGCCTCAGTTGCATCTGGATTCGAACTTGGGTCTGTATTTCAACAGTTCATGGGCGTACCCACTCAGCTAATCCCATAGGGACAAACGACAAAAATCATGGCGACGTACCTTTCCAGGTTCTAGCGGAAGATTCTCTCTCATTTTGCACATTTTGAGAGTACTGGAGCGAGGCCCCAACCAATTCAATTACCTGTCGAATCTGGACAGGACGGCCTTTTTCAGGCACATCAGCACATACTCTCGACATGTACAAAAGACAAAAAATATGGTGATGTCCTTCGGGACTGGAGCGATACAAAGAAGATTAGCATGGCCCCTGCGCATTCAAGGATGACACACATAAATCGAGAAATGGTCCAAATTTTTGCAGGACGGTGGTCATGGAAGTCGAAATGCGCTAAGTAGTGTGGAAAAATAAGAAAAATAAGAAAAATAAGAAAAATAAAAATCATGGTTATGCATCTTTCCATGTTCTAGTGGCATCTGGATTCGAACTCACGTCTGCATTCCAACAGTTCATCAGTGAGCCAGGCCCGTTGGTCATATAAGACAAATTGCATTTTTCATCCATGATCCGATCAAGAATCGAACACGCGGCCTCCCTCATGACAGTTGAACGCTCACCCAAACGGCTGATAAGCTGACTGGGGTGAAAGTTAAGCCCTATATAACATCCCCTCCCTCCTCCCCCCCCCTTCCTCTAAACGGTCGTATCAGTTTAGGGCCTTAGGCCACCTTGAAATCTCTTCCGTTAATTCTTTCCTTGCTCCGTTAATTTTTTTTTTCCCGCTGTTAATCTAGGCTACCGGAGTGGCCCGGGACTACTTGCCCGGCCAGGCCAAAAGAAAATAC